GGGAGAAGCACATGGGTATGCTCAAAAGGCGGGAAAGGCCTCCCTTGATGTGCCCGATGGCATTGTCGCTCGCACCGACCCCGAGTTGGATGAAATTCGGTACGGTAATGTTGATGCGGGCACGAGTGTAGCGAACATCAATGCCCTAACTGTGCATCTCAGTGATAAGTGGAAAGTTAAGCTGATGGAAGACAATCAGGCCACGATCACTATCCTGCAGCAGGGACACTCACACAAGCTAAGGCACACGGATAGGACCCAACGCATTAGCTTTAGATGGCTCCAGGAGCAATTCGTGAATAGGCAGTTCGAATTAATCAATGTTGACACTACCCTCCAAGCTGCAGACATCTTGACCAAGGCGTTTGACAGCACCCCAGTGTGGCACCATGCACTTGAGCTGATCGGTATCTCCCCCAATCGCCAGGCGCGAGCCTGTGCCACCAGTTTGCTGCTCTCCCCATGCGCCAAGGCCGGAGAAGTTAGTGATCAGGGGGGGCAGATCGCTGCGTTATGCAACGCTCAGCCCAAGCGCCTCCTTATTGAATTCTGTTGTTCGACGACCTCACGGTTGGGCGAATCAAGAGACTCTTCAAAAGGTTGTCGCGTCATTCGGGTAACTGAAACCGAAGACGGGTGCTTTGATACGTGCAGGCAGTGGTTAGTCCATGAAATTGCCGAATTTAGGAGCAAGAATCCTAAAGGTGCAATAATGTTCTACGTTTCGTTGCCATGCACTGGAGGATGCCCGTGGGGTTATGTCAACCAGCAAACTCCCAAAGGTGCTGCCAAGATTGAGGGTCACATCAAGCAATTCCGATCACTGTTGAGAGGGTTCAAACGCATTCTCAATGATGTCTATGCTGATGACATTAGAGTTGCCTTCGAACTTCCCAAGGCGTGTCGTTATTGGAAATGGCCCGAACTATGGAGTTTCTTGACTAAATACAAGATGAACAAGTATGAATTCCATGGTTGCAAAATCGGCATTAAAGGGAGAAGTGGAAAACCTATGAAAAAGCAGTGGGTTGTTGCCAGTAACATGCCCACTATTTCCGTGGTTGAGTACTTCAAGTGTGATGGTTCTCACGAGCATGATGAAAGCCGTGGCACGCATTTGAAGGAAGCCGAGGGATACACGTACGTTTACACTGATGCAGTTCACAATGCATTTTCCGAACATGCCACCATGCAGCCGTTGCTTTCGAGTGATTGTGCTGCATCCTTTTCGCAATGAGCAGCGCGACGGCTATGGCGCATCCCGCGAGGGATTGCGATCCGGCATGGAGGAGGTGGATGGAGAATGTCGCTACCACATCGGTATGCACGAACGGCAAATACGACGCTAACCTCGCCGCCACGGTCAAGAGCCTCCTCGAGACGACCTCTGCACAGTCGCTTATTCATACATGGGTGCAGGACCAACCGCACTACCTGCAATTGCTTACACCCCTGTTAACTATAAGCGAACCGTACTTGAAGGTTTTGCAGGCCCCACGTGTACCAGATCGCGACCTCCTTATCTATGTGACTGTCGCTGATTCAGGACTGTCCATGGTTTCGGGCAAGAAGCGCAAGCTTCGCAAGTACGACTTTGCGGAGCGTTTGGATGCCTCTCGCCCGGCGCGTGTCGGTGCATGGAGGTCAGAAATGCTTTGGGGCAAGGGCTTACAGCAGCTGTGCAAGCGGTTGGCCGCCCTCATCGACGAGGTGCGTACCGACCACCCAGCTGCCACCATCATTCCAATGATTTACTGGAATGGCAACGAGCTCGTCGGCAAGGACGGCCTCGAGCCCACTGGTACATATCCTTATGATACCCCCACTGGCGACGCCGAGCAACTTCTTGCTGACTCCAAACGGCACCTGGCTTGGACCAGGGACTTCGCGGCCCGCAAGGGCTGCGCATGCCTTGGAGTCATGACCGGCGCGAAGAGCTATCTCTACGGCTTTTCTATGATTTGGGACCGTTTCATGACGGAAGTCCGGGATTACATCATCGGCGACCCCAGTCAAATGTTTGTGTACGTAGATGCTACACCCTTTGTCGAGACCATCGATTTGCTGGACAGGTATCATATGTGCTTCAGTGATGACAACATCACGAAGACCGTCCAGTTCATGCGCGGAACCCATCACATGTTGTATATGCTTTCCATCTTGCGCCCCGCAATGGGCAGCGTAGCCGAGCTGACTCGTTCGCATGATTGCACCACGCGTCCGATCGATGTGCTCGAGGTGCGCCACCAAGAGGATTGCACAGTCAACGTTGAGGTTCTCGCGTACTGCAAGGAAACGCTAACGAAGTGCGGTGTCTCCTTGTCAGAGATGATCGGGCTCCCTTTCACCCGTGAAGAAGTGGAGGTCCGGCAGCCCCTCGATTTCGCCCCCGTCAACCCAGCCGAATTTGCAACTTCAGGTGAGCCTTCCGGTGCAGATGTTTCCGAAAGTGTTCGCCCGGCGCAAGCCGGTGCAAAGGCGGCTGCGGTGGCACAGAGGGACGAGGCGGCAAGCAGACCGGTACCACTCGACTCCTACGAGAGGACCGTGACTGGAGGCCACTACGACTGCTGGGTGTATAGCATTCATGATGTCTGTCAGGAGAATCGGCAATGAGTACCACAGTTCCCTGACGTGCATCTCCAAGATCCTCCGTGGTCGTGGAACAGAAGGATGCGGGTACGTGATGGATGAGGACGGCTACATGGACCTCGAAGACCTGGGACTCGCGCTTCGCAAGGAGCTGCGACATCCCATTCCATGGAATATTCAGAATATCATGGATATCTTCAAGCTGGACAAAAAGCAGAGGTTCATTGCGCTTGGTTGCCCGGACGCAGGCCGGTGCGGAGACGTCCCATGTTCGCATTGGCTTTTCAAGATAAAGGCCTCTCAGGGACATGAGGACTGGCTCCAAATCGACGACTCCGGCATCGCGAAGGAGTGGTACGTGAACCCGGGGACCGACCTCGGGCGCTGGTCTGGCTGGAACGTCTGCAGCAACCCTCCCACGGTGCTCTATCATCGCACCGATAAGCGGAACTTCGCCAGCATTATGCGAAACGGACTGCTTCCAGGAGGAGGGGACCAGCACGAGACAGGCAGACCTCACGTTTTCTTCGCTGACATTCCGAGCACGAATGAAAATTACATCTCAGGTGTACGTGCTAACAAGCCCTTGGAGATACAGATCGACCTCAGGATGGCCATTCGCGCAGGGCTTTGCTTTTTCAAGACTGAGAGCGACGGCGTCCTTACGCGCGACAAGGTGCCCAATTACACGATTATTTCGGTATTGGACGCTACAAATGGCGATGTATGGTACACTCGCTCCGAGCAATCGGATGCAGGTGCACCAGCTGAGGCGAATGAGGATGAATCGCAAGGGATGAAGCGCGAGCAAGCCGTGGTTGATGATCGATCTACAGCGCTGGAACGTATTGCTACAACCCGCACCAATGTGGCGTCTCCTCGCGCCCCGCAAGGGGAAGCGAAGAGACAGAAGACTTTCAACCCAATGGAGAACGTTGAGATGAATGTCGCCACGTGCCCGGTCTGCAACAACAGTGTGTTCGAGGGGCAGGTCCATTGCTCGTCATGTGGGCAGTTGTCTCCCCTCAATCCTCGGCTGCTGAAAGAACAGCAGAGGAATTACATTGTGCAGCGTTCCAATTTGCTGAAGAAGATGGGCCTCAGCACCCATGTCACAGCCCAGGTTTTGGCATCCGTGGGAACTTTTGACCTCCGCGAGGAGGATCGTAGCAGCATCATTCGTGGCTTGAACTCCCCGGACAGTGCTGTTATTCAGGAGGCCCGGAAGAAGCACAAGTCCGCTCTGAAGAACGGCTACCACTCTCTGCTTGATCGCTATGAACTCGACCTTCAATACAGGGTTCGTATGCTTGAGGTGGGCCGTCGGGAGGCGGATATGCTCCGCATGGAGTTGAGTGCCAACCTCGTCTTGGCTGCTCCAAAGCAGTCGCAAGCCCAGCGCACTCTGGGAGTTGGCCTTGGATCAACTTCAGAGTCGCGAATCGCAAGGCTCGCGTATATCAAGACGGAGTTGGAGTTCTTGCCCAGCGAACTCCAAGATGCGCTTACCTCTCGCTGGATCATTATGTTCCAAGGGATGCCTTATAGCCCAAGGGCTTTTATCAACGTGGTCTTCGAACAAGACAAGCCTCGCAGCATCGGTTGTTGGAATGGCATCATCCATTTGCGAAGCAACACGTTGGAGGACCTCCGCAACGAGATGGACTGGATATTCAGCCAGAATGAGCGTTATGCTCGTAACTCGATTGAGTTTTCGAGGAACGAGAGCAGCAAGCACCTCGCTCGCAACGCCGCTCGCTATGCCGATGCACGTGCTCCCGCCGCCCGCGAGGGTGAGCATTGGAGCCAAGGCAGCTGGCAGAACTGGTCCGGATGGAGCGGATGGGACAACAGTAGCGGAAACTACTCTACGTGGCAGTGGCGCTAAAAGCGCAACTGTCATGGTTTGCATGTGTCAATGGTTCCCCTGACCTTCTCCCTCTGTTGTGTTACTGTTTGGCTGCTTTGTGAAAGGCCCCTTTAACACGCAGAGGGGGGTGAAGAATTTGATCGGTCAGTATGGGGTTTACATCCATTGCATCCGCAGTGTGGCTGTTCAAGCGTAAAATGTGCGAGCAGCGCACTTGGACGGTTTGTTGTTTCCTTTTGGGCCCCAAACCGGTAACCCTTGAATCTATAATGTTTGCGCGGGAGGTAGTGCTGTTGAGCACCCCCACGCTTCTAAGTTGCCAAAGCATCGAGTAATGCCTTCAGACCCATCAGAAAGAGAGTGCAAGAGCCGTGGGACATTCTCCCAAAGCTGCCTGCAAGATTCGCACGCGTATCCTTCCACCATTCTTGAAAGACGAGGGTCTTTTCAGGAGAATGGTTCAAAACCACCAAATCCGATATCGTCTTCCATGGAAAGAGGTAAAGGAAAACCATCTCTCGGCGGGGCTTTCGCCCAG